CTTTAACGCTTTTTTAGTCCTACGGAACCGGTTAACCAGTTAACCGGTCACGTTTACCAGCCTTAGCAGAGAACCTTGATTTTTGCAGAAAACGAGGACCATAAAATTTGTGAATAGGGTAAAAAAATAGCCTTAAAGTATGGCATAGGTTTCAACTCAAAATTGTCTAGGTGCTCTGCTGCCTTCTTTGACATTAATTTGTAGATTGTTATGTTTATCTTCTAAATAATAGCAATAGGTCTTCAGTCTCAGTCTATTTCACTTTACACTGTATAAGTCGAAGCGTGAGTCAACCGTTCGCACCGGCGTAGTTTGGTCTCTAAAAGGATACGAGACTAATATTGGTGATTCGAATACGAATCCTTAAGGATTTCCTTGGCGAATCCAATTTACGGATCCTTTTTTCTTAAGTATTCGAATACCGTTCGCGGATCCTGTGATTCGAATCTTCCCTTGCTCTGCTAATTAATAATAAAAAGAAAACGCATAAAATAAAAATTTTCAACACTCTATATTTTGAACACGAAGCGACATTCTTAAAAAAATTAACCACATTTTTGTCTTAAAATAAGATGAGAATTATGCTACTTTCTTTTGTCAGAGAAGTTAGGAAAACTTATTTCAGACCATCTATGTAAACAGTTCTAAACGACTCCAGCAAATATTCTTTAAAATCGTGTAGATACGCTTTTGAAATTTATAAAAATCGCTAGTGATTGAAACCAGGAGGGGCTTACGTTCTCTGAGGTGTTTGTTAAGCTGAGATAACCTAAGTTAATTTAAACTTAAAAGCACGTTCGTTTCGATACCGTAAAGTTACATTAACTGTTTGCTCTCCCTCAACCACAAAGTCTACAAATTTTGTAACTTTGATGTATAATGAATGAAGATTATTCATTTTCTATTGATGTTTAATGTTGTATTGCAGAACTTTTATTTATTTATTATTCTATGAGAGTTTGAACGTTTAAGTGTTAAATAAATAAAAGAATATTGATTTTGTAATTATTTCGCTAAATTCTATATATTTTAAAGTATAAGGATTTAATAGATGAAAGTTTTGAAACAAGCAAAAATCATAATTGGAGTTTGCTGTAAAATTTATATGTTTTGGATTGGTATTTTAGATGCTGTCAAAGAATTACATTTTACTTTGTCAAAATTTTATAGAAAAAATTTAATTTAAAAATAATATTTAGCACAAAGCAAAAAACAAACATTATCAAACGTTACTTTCGTACAGGTTAAAATTAATTTAAAGTTGCAGTATTGAATTCCAGAGTACATGGCTGATTTTCTTGAAGAACTTTCTGAATTAGTATTCGACTACAATAGTTTTATCTTTCTGGATGTGTTATTTCATATAATATGAGACGGTGGTCTACTAAAAATCCGAATTTTTTTGTTGGTGAATCATTTTATCCCGAGAAAGTTTTGCGTTAGGGTAGGAGTATTTAGGTGTCGATGGAAAGGAGCAACTGATGGCCAAGGCTAAGAAGACTGTAGCAGCCAGCTGTCTTTGGCGTATTATGCAGAGACTGAAGGTCGCTCCCCATAATACAGAGTGTATAATCCTCAGGAGAATCAGGAAAAGGACGGACATTGAAATCCGCATAGGAGGTACTCGGTAAAAATGTGAAATAGCTAGGGGTGTGGCTTCATGGCAAACTAATATATAAGAAGGTCGTGTGACAAGGCCAAAAGACAAGTCACACCTCTAGCTACCTTTCTACTAAACATAAGCGGGCTCGGGTTTCTGGAGAGAAAGATGCTGGGCGTGGTTGCGACTGTAGTTCTGTATGCATCACCCATCTAAGATCAATATCAAAAAGTACAAAAACATTTTTTCAGCGCAAGATGCTATTGAGAGTAACGCGGGTTAGTGGTAATTAAAGAAACTCCCCCGATAGACTTGCAGATAGAGAAGAGTGGTAGATGAATTTACTATACACTTGCTTTTAAACACATAACACTACTTGCTTGATATTTTTGCCTAAGTGTTGGCAAGTAGGGTAAGAAAAAACGTAAGACACAAAACTTTTGATATGTACACGATAAAAGTTGAAAACTGAACTCGACTAAGATTTTGCACTTTAGGCGTTGGATCTGCCACAACCCCTCTAGATTTTGTTTAAATGTGAGCGTGTTCGAACATTGACGGTCATTTGAAAGCCAACATTTTTTAAACAGCTTTTACAGAAAATATTTTCCAGTTTTATTGCGTTGGAGTAAGAGGGTCTTTGTTATCTAAGAGATAGAATATGTCCTTGTTAAAATGTGAAATCTTTGTTAGGCGCAAATGTTCTTTTATTTAAAGAGCCGGTTTAGGTGTGATAGATATGTTTAATTGAAAGACGTATGACTACGAAATTTAAACAGAAAATATTACCAGAAATATATGCCAAAGGAACCAACATATTTTAGTCTCTTATTCACACACAAATTAAACATTACCATTACAAATTAACTAAACTCCACAAAATAGCCTACGTATTTAATTTTTTTTTGCTAAATATAGCATCATAGAACAACTTTATAACAATTCGTAGAAACATTGTGTATATAATTTTCAAAAACATTATTAGGATTTCGAAAAAAAATATTCTATTTCGACCGAGGTCTCTTTGCATTTTACTCTGCTATTTTATATTGCCGTTATTAGCTATAAAGCTATCAGTATACGGATTTTACGGATGAAAAACCTCTACATCTTAACATCAGAAAGCGAAAAATTCCATGTCAATTTCAATACACAGAGGTCATCGCTAAATTTACTTTAGACATCATTCATCAATCAAATGTCGCTAGTGATACATTATCTTGGTTAGAAGAAACTCCTTTCCTGGAAATGATACCACACTAATCATGCCAAATTTTATGCAAGTAGATATAAAGTCTTCCAACAATATAAAAATGACGACATTAAATTACAGCGACTATTAAGCAGTCACAAAGATGACAGCCATCACAAACTACAAGAAGTAGACATACAATTTTTTAAAACGAAATTTTGGTGTAGTTTTTTTATCAAAATATTGTTCTTATGCTCCTAAAAATATGAGGTTTAACTATTTTCTTTAATATTTATGATATATCTCATCCTGAAAACAAATATTCAAACAAACTAAGTTAAATTATTTGGATACACTAAAGCTCCTAATTGACATTGTTAAAGATCGTATTAAACATATTCATATCGACTTAGTTGAGCCTTGACTAAATCAGAAGGATGAAACTAACTATATTATGACTGCAGTCGAGACTATGGTCTCTTAGTAATACTAGTGCAGAAAATGTTGCTAAAACTTCATTCCAAAAATATTTCTCGAGATTCGGAATGACAGCGGAGTAGGGTGGACAGTTTAAATTCAAATTAAAGGGTCACAAAATTTATGTATCTGCTTATCACCCTCAGAATAATGGTATGGTGGAAAGATTTCATCGCACCATGAAGAATTATCTTTAATTTTATGAGGCATCCGAGCAGAAGTTAGATATTTGATGTTCTTCGATCGAGCTCGTTATGGCGAGTATTAACGACTACCAAGCAAATTTTTCTTTCTCATAGTTAGAATATAATTAAGATTAATCCTTTATAAGGTAGCCTTTGCGATATTAAGCTAACAAATCCAAGATAACTTCACCTTCTTTTTTTTAATGTCCCAAGTAAAGCATTTACAATTAATAAAATCTGATCATTTAGATCAATTGACAATTTATTATCTAGTGTTGAAACATTTCATAAACTTAGGTTCCACTCTACTTTAGAGAGTGTTGTTAATGTATATATACAATCCAGAAAATTATAAATCACTGAATAACAAGAACCACTTTTTTTAATCATTAAGAACCCTGAACTTAAACCATTTCGTTTCCTTTGGCCCACCCTGTTTGGTTAATTATGCACTTAACTAAGAAATCAATTTGTTTTTAGAAAAAACTATGTAATCACTGGGTTTCGGTATTTTGGGACTTCACCAGACCTATTATATTATTAAAAATAATAATGTATTCTTGAGTTAATACATTTAAACCTACAATACGAGCTGCATTTCCTAGAGAGCTCTTTCATTTTGTAAAAATTTTTCTCATATCCAAATCGACGTGATGGACGCGCTGGTATAAAAATGTCAGTGCCTCAAATATTCATTTTAACCCAATTCAACGGTCTGGCAATATCATGTCATGAAATGCATCAATAATTTTTGGGAACGGGTAGAGAAATCATTTTCAATGAAAGTTTAACTCTTTCAAATCCCATTGGAGCATGTAAATCAATTTCTCTCGGTCACAAACGAAGCGGAGTTGATCGACATGTGCTGGCATCTCCAAATGAAAGAAATAATAAAGGAAACATGGGGCTATCTTACTAGATTTAAAAATCTTAGATATTGTGTAGATTTTAAATATTTTTTTCTGATATTCATAATTACAAGAAACGTAATTCACATTGTATTAGAAATAATCGTTTTAGGTTATGTCTATCCGAAATTATTTCCCTAAATTAAAATTTATTCAACATATTTCTGATCAGTACCTATACAAAAAATAGCTAACACTTCTTTTTTATATTTCTTAACTTATTTAAATTTGACACTTTTAGACCACACACTCACTTGGGATGTAGTGGAACAAGCATCAAATACAAAACAATATGAAGGGGTTAGAACCATAACGATATAAGTGACATGAAGGTGATTTCCAGATAATCCACTTTAAAGTATTTTGATAATTGTGAAATATTGGAGCAGTCAACTTTCATTGTTTTTGGATAGATTACTCGTAATAAATGTTATACGATTTATGATTAATATGACCCATTAATTAGTTACTAGCATTATCCAAAAAATCACTTATACCCTTTTGCTTATCAAAAAATCTTCAAAAAATCCCTTATATCCTTTTGCTTATTAATGATTATAAGAGAATATCTGGTACGGCTTTATTTGTAAGTTAGAAAAAAAAATGGTATGAAGAAACTATTAAAATAATATCAAAATTCATTCTTGATCACTCTCAATTATGTCACTAATATCGGCGATGTCATCAGGATCGTCAGAAGCAGTCTTTTTTGATTGGTTCTTCTCCAGATGAGGAGTCATTCTGTAGAAGTCATGGTTATAAATGGTAGTAACTGTTTCAAGTCATTCCATTTAGCAAAAGTAATTTTTTGCACTGGAGTAGTGTCATTAGTCTTTATTTCACCGGCTATAATGGTGGCTCTTGTTATACCCACCTTTGCACATTTCTCGGAGCGAGAAAAAAGAAAATTAGCATTCAAAGTTTCTTTAAAGGCAAAATTTAAAAAATATTCCTTGTCATACCGAAACCATACAACTGGTCGCAGTTTAAGGGGTTCAAAAGTTTTTTCTTTAATGCTTTTTTTGAAGTTCTTGATGCTTGCAAAACTTGTGAGTCTTCTTGTATAGCAGTTGCTACTTCTTGATCGGTAAATTTGGGATCTTTCATAGATTTGTTGGGAAACTAGAAAGATATAAATGACTCCCTATCCATATCACAAACATTGAAATTTTTGGACGTTTTTCTAATAATCTGACTCCAGTCACTGGGAACGAATACATGAGAAATCTGTTTCTTTTTTAACTCTATTAAGCCAAACGATCTGTCACATTCCATGTACGAATTTCCTGGCTCGAAAAATTTATGTTCTATTGTCTCTATTTTCTTATTCTTTTGTACTAGGTACATGAAAAGCCTAATTAAATTTTTATTTTTGTTCTGACCCCCACAAGAGTCACTGGAAAATATTACGTGAATAACTGTTTCTGGAAGAGATTCAATAAATTTACACAAACATGAAGCTACTTTTCTTGAACTACGGGAGGCTATCGTCTCATTCCAGACATACATATTAGATATTTTTGACGTACAATCATAAATGCATAGATTGTAGGTCCACAACTGCCTAAGGTAATAAATTTTATTTGTTTGGATCAGGGGAGTAAGAAGTGTTTGTTGTAAGTCAAAACACAAAACGCGGCACTTTGTGTTTTGTTTAGCGTAGCTGATGTCTTTTTCTTTACTTCTAGCCACATTTTCTGCTTTTCGATGATGAACTTCTAATTCTGTCTTTAGAGTCTTACGAAGATTCTCGTCATCTAAAAATTTTATTTAGTTGTTTAAGCGGTCTCAGGTATTACAGGTGTCAGTATGCGGTTCATGAAATTTTAAATTAAATTCGGTACAAAAGACATGTCTGCAGTAAGATTCTTTTACCGGAGTTATTTCTCTTTTGGTACACCATTCGCAATATAGTCTGTACAGTACAGAAATATTGAGTGTTTCTCGTGTTCTCGTTTTGAGCTCTCGAATAATGACTCTTGTACCTAGGGAACTGATTAATGTGAGCCACAACTTCATTTTCGACAAAACCTTCTTGTGAAATTTTATTTGAAACAGTTGCAAATCGTCTATTTGAAATATCTAATGTTTTTAGAAAAAAATCTTTGCACACTCGATAATTACAAAGAGTTATCTTAGTCACAAAGCTTTTAGTCGTAACTGCTCCTTGCTTTGTGCGTGTTGGCGCTTTATTAGAGATACAGCTTCCAAAGAAATTACTTTGTAAATCTTAGCTTAGTAGTTCATAGAACTTTTTTAACACATTTTTTCGTTCGTCTTCAGTAATTTTGTTACAGTGATATCTGCAAGTATGGTAATACTCACGTAACCTGCGAGCTGGTACGAGTTTTCCACAAGTATTTGTATATTCTTTCACTTTACTACGTAATGTTTTTCTTTTTACTTTTTCCCACACTTTCGTTTCCACCTTGCGTTTTCTTGTCCTTCTAGGAGTACTATAAACTGGGATATGTGCATCATTATTTTCTATTTCGTAATCAAACACCTTGTCTGGTACGATTTCATCGTCAGTACTCAAATCCCTCTGTGAATCTTTTAATTCCTCAGGATTGCAGTCACTATCTGTGTCAGTAGCATAATGGATCTTCTTCACTACCATCATTACTACATGCATCTTTTTCAGTACTGCAACTCGCTAAAACAAAAAATATACTTCAATATAGGCGTGTATTTTTAGGTTAGAATAATGCAAAACCTAGTAAAAATCTTAAAAACGATATTTTATCAATTTTTTTTACAAAAATTCTAGCCATAATTACCCATTTTATTGCACCAATAGCACAGTCACAGTATTTCTAAGTAAAATACAAATCCACGAATGAAACTAATCACACAATTTTGTTGTACCAAGTTTTTTATTGTAAACGTACTTAATATAATTCCGTAAGAAAACGGTACAGGTGCGCTTATACCTAATTGCCACAAAGAGATCTACATAAATATTTTAGTAAGTCATGGTCACACACCAATAGATGTCGCAAAGTGTATTACAATCGCTTGTATCGATATGCCACTAAAATTATATACCATTTAATATACCAAATATGTACTTAACTCAAATTGAGCAACAATGTCACTTATACCCTTATGGTTCTAACCCCTTCATATGGTGTATGAACTAAATACTTAAATGTGTCTCTTCCCAAGTAGGTTTGACGCCATTTTTAAGCCATTCTCGGAAAACCTTCAAGTCATGGCCTCTCATTTTCCTCTCACACAAGTCCAACTGCTAGTAATTCCATTTTGAATGTTTCCTTACCCTGTAGATCATGGGACTAGTTGTATTTATTCGTTACTTGAGTTTAGTATTGAAAACAGCTGAAAATCTACATTTAACAATTATTAACAATTTGGTGGTAAATTAGATTATTGTAAAAATGTTGGTTATTCTTGTAGAATTGAGTTATTTCTGACATTAAAAAAATATTGATTTGTAAAATCTGGTTTATCTCTCTCCAAATAAAGACTCGACTATTGAAACATCATGTATACATAAATATTTCTCACAGTGTTGGAAATAAATTAGTAGAATTAGATCATAAATTAGAAGAACTTGATTCTGAAAATAAAAATTTAAAAACTAAATTAGAAATTGTGGAAAGAAAACTAAAAGAACAGAATTTAATTTTTTATGGTGTATACGAAAAACCCGAAGAAACCATAAAAGAATTACTGGCTACTATAACAATTATTAAAGAGCATCTACAAATAAATATTGAGAGTTTTGATATAACTAATATATACCGCATAAGGAAAAATAAAAACAGCGTTAGACCTGTTTTAGTTAAATTTCATTCAAATTTAAAGCGTTTCGAAATTTTAAAAAACACTAGATTATTAAAAAATCTTAAAATATACATATCCGAAGATTTAATTGTAAAAGATTTAGAAGAAAAAAAAAATTCTTGTTCAGTACATGAAAGAAGCAAAAAATCAAAATAAACGTGCTATAATCAAAGGAAGAAAGCTTATCATAGAAAACAAGACATATACAGCAACAGATATATTAAAGGAGAGAGAAGAAAAGTCAGACAAAAATTTCTCACCACCACCCTCCAGAAAGAGTTTTAGTGCACCCCAAACACAAAGGCAAATAGAGAGTGAAATAGAAGAAGTTGTGTTCACAGAGAGTACTTTAGAGATTACTCAAAAAAATACAAGCTCGGAGAGGACAAAAGAAAGTGAAGAGGTAATTAAAGAACAAATTCAAGAAGACCAGAAGAAACGATACCAAACCAGGCTTGGCTCTGCATCAGGAGTGGGTTCCAAAGAAAATAAATCTTTAAAAGTAGGAAATTTAAATAACAATAAAAAGCCTAAATAAATTTTAAAGTAAATAGGTATTATATTAAAATAAAAAAAATATTGTAACTAAATGTGTTTTGGATGTTTTTGAATTAAATAATTAATAGGTTTGTCTGAAATTTTTTGCATAATATAAACTTGTAGTAATTAAATTATGAACCCGTATATTAGAGATTATAATTATACTCCATTACAAACTATAGAGCTAGATTCTGTAGAACAATATAACAGTCAAAATAAAAATTGTAAATCAAAGTTTATTGTGTTACAACAAAATATAAGAAGCATAGGAAAAAATATAGACCAATTTAAAATATATCTGTCAAAGTAGTTTTATCAGGAAATACATTGTATTATCTTAACTGAAACAAGGAAAATTACTAATAAAAATGATTTTAACATTCCTGGATATGATATAATATATAATGAAGGAGATATTAATTTATGTGATGGAGTTGTAGTGTATTTAAGAAATTATTTAAATTATTCATATGAAATAGTTAATATTGGTCGATGCAAGCCTATACAAATTAAAATATTTTTTCAAAAAAACATAATACTTTTAACAGCACTATATAGGTCTCACGATATAGAAATAAAAGATTTTATTATTGATTTTAAACAGTATTTACAAGAAATTTCTTTACAAAAAACATATCATAACATAATTGCAGGTGATTTTAATATCAACGTTCTAGAGGAAGATATAAATTCCAGTGAATATTTAAATTATGTATATGAACACGGTTTTCATTCTACCATAAACAGTGTCACAAGGCCAGATAGCAATACTTGCTTGGACCATATATTACTAAAATCAATACCACAAACACCATACAATGTAGCATTTGTAATAAAAACAACAATAACTGATCACTATATGACTTTAGCTGCTGTAGATATTGAAGTAACAAGTAGTAACCCAAGTGAAGAAAAATTTCATTATTACCATGATTATAATTCAATAATATCTGAGTTACCAAATTTTAACTGGACGCAATTCTATTCCATTATTGATACAGAAATCTGCTCAACATATTTCACAAATATCTTTATTGACATTATTAATAAAAACACAAAAAAAGTTAAATTAAAACACAAACAAGTAATGCGAAAAAGTTGGATTACAAATGGTTTAATGAAATCAATAGGAATTCGGGATAAATTATACAAACGTTATAAAATTAATCTAGGAAGCGAAAATGTAAAAAGGGTGTATATTGCATACAGAAATTCGTTAAATAATTTAATAAAAACCACAAAAAATAATTATTACAAACAGAAAATCAATCAAAATAGGGATACAAAAAATTTATGGAACTGTGTTAATGAAATTTTTAGAGGTAATAATCAAAACAATATTAGTAAAATTTTAAAAACAGATGAAACAATAACACAAAACAAAACTGAAATAGCTGAAATTTTTAATGAACATTACGCTACAATAGGAAGCAAATTAGCAAATGAAATTAAAGTCCCGAAAAATTGTCCTCTTAAACCAAAAACAATTTCTTCTTCAATCTTCCTTTCACCTACAAATAAAAATGAGATTATTGAAACTATAGAATCTTTAAAACCTCATAAAGCCCCCGGTTATGATTTAATAAAAGGTGAACTTCTGAAAAAAGTCAAGGAAGAAATATCACTACCGCTGGTACACCTAATTAATGCAATTTTTGAAAAAGGCCATTGCCCTTCGGTATTTAAAATTGTCATTATAAAACCCATGTACAAAAGCGGCGATAAACAAATTGTAACTAATTACCGACCTATATGCTTGATAACAAACTTTGCTAAAATTTTTGAAAAAATTCTAAAGACCAGAATTATACATTATATAAAAAAACATACCATCCTTTCAAAACGTCAATTTGGATTTCGGGAAGAACAATCTACCCAAGATGCTATCACTTTATTAACATCCGAACTTTATAAAAATCTTGACAATGGAGAACATTCCCTATGTATATTTTTAGACCTTGCAAAGGCTTTCGACACTGTGAGTCACACACAGTTGTTGAAGACTTTAGAAAACATTGGTTTCCGAGGCATCCCATACAAACTAATGGTAAGTTACCTAGAAGAAAGAAAACAGTACGTAACTATAAGTGAAAGAAAAAGTTCTGAAAAAATAATGACATACGGTGTACCTCAAGGAACGGTATTGGGTCCCATATTATTCATACTGTATATAAACGAAATACTCACCTTCAATAGTACTGGGACAGTAAGTAGTTTCGCAGATGATACCATTATACTATATACAGCGCAAAACTGGGAAGATCTAAAAAAGAAAGCAGAAGCAGATACGAGTATATTAATAAATTGTTTTAATTCAAAATTACTAACCATCAATTTAAGTAAAACTTGTTTTATTCCCTTTAGTTGCTACACAAATACATACAAATCTATGCAAAAGAAAACATAAAATATTTAGGAATAACTGTGGAGAGGCACCTTAGATGGAATTTACATGTTGATAGGGTCACTTCAACTTTACGTAGCTTACTATACAGATTTAAATATTTAAAAAATATATTAGATCAAAGTCAATTAAAAATACTATATTCTGCTTTAGTAGAATCGCGAATATCATACGGAATTGTGGGATGGGGAGGTTTGGCGGATAATCACTTAAAGAAACTAGAAGTATTACAAAAGAGATTCCTAAAAATAATATTAAATAAACCATTTCCCTATCCCTCTGATACATTGTATCAAGAATCAAATAACCTTGATATTAGACAGATTTATTTTTATAAAATAGTTACCTCTATTGAAATAGAAACAAACAGTAATATTCAACATAACTATGAGACTAGACAAAAAACAAATAAGTTATTAAAAATAGTATCAGCTTCAAAAACCATTGGTCAAAGAGGTTATAATTATATTTCAAAAAGGCTTTATAATTTCCTTCCTCTCAATATTCGAAGTTGTACATCAAAAAGTATTTTTAAAAAGAAAGCTAAAACTTTTGTATTAAAATGTGATAGAAAAGTGATTCATAATTTAATTACGCCTTAGTGTTTACATAATTTATACTACATTATTTATATATGTTTGTGTGTTAAATATTATTGATATTTTATATAATATTTTAATTTTTATTTTTATTTTAATTTTAATACATTAAAAATTGGAGACGAGCAAAAATAGAATCACCCACGGACAGGTCATACCTTTGTGGGTTACCATTTGTTTACTCTACTTTTAGTAATAATTGCTGATAAGGATTATATGTTTATAAATTTATATTAATTAATATGTTTTATTATCTGTTGTGTCATCATTTTGAGTGAATAAATT